ATGTAAATGTTTATGCATACGTACTTACATGTAAGGAGGGTACAAAAAAAGAAAAACATTTTTTTCCTTGTCAAGTTTATTTACTTTCTGACCTTTTTTTTCTGGCCCTTACTTTTTTCTACACTATACGTAATTCTCTACGTTTAAAGACATGGGAATGATGTTGGAATTCCAAAAATAAATGAGTGTATCGTAAAGATAGAAGACTCAACCTTTTTGTTATTGGGGTTTTTTTCATTATTGTTTCTTTTTTTCCCATTTTTTTTTTTTTTCAATTTTGAGATGAGATTTTATTTTGCTGCTTAAATAACAACATTTGACAAATTGATTGATAACGTGTGTTTTATGATTAAAAGTATTTGTAGAGATGTTCTGATTCCAAAAAAAAAATTTAAAAACGTTTATGTGTTTGATTATGTGTGTCCGTATAGAGGAGTAACTAAATATTCATTATAGAATCGATAGTAGTTACACATGTTTGTGTCCATACTAAAAGATAAAAAACAAAAACAGATACGTGATTTTTTGTTACGAAAACAACATTAAAAATGCACAGAAAATCTTCCCAGAATAGTAAACATTAACCGTGTCAACTCTATGATACCCATACGAATGGTTTCGGAAGTCATATAAGAGATGCACTAGTGATTCGTATATTTTTAGCTACTTTTTTTCTTAAATAGTACTATTAAAACATTTTTAGTTAAATTTAACCACTACATTATAGGCAAACGATTTATAAGAGATTTTGAAATGGTTTTTTAAGTTACACAAGCCACTACGCACTGACTAATTCGTTCAATGTCAATTCTTTTTGATTAAAATTGTCATTTCACTTATTGTGCGAGACATTTGTATTGTAACTTGTGTAATTTTTGAAAAGTAGTAAATTTACCCTTTCACAAAATTTTATTGCAGTTTCTAAGACCCCTGTGTCACGATAACTTTCAAATTATATAGATTTTTATCATAAACTAAATATGACAAATTAGTGCTCTTATATGAATTCTATTTTTGGGGTTATCGTTGTGATGAATTTACTACATGCAGACAGAAAGACGGATATTCGAATAAACGAACACTTGGACTTGTTAAAATTGCTTCAGAATTTCACGTTGAGTAAGAATAAATTTATACATACATGTTTGAATATTATCATTTCTAAGTGTTTCAAAGGAATGTTTTTTTCCTTTGTTTACTCCTAGAAGTAGAATAGGGCTAGTGCATGCTATCATAGATATGCTAATTTCATTGTGTCATAGATATTGTGTCATATCAAGTAACTAGCCTGCCGTAGCTTTCAGTTACAAAGGAAATTACAACGTTATAATACTGCATGAAAATAGTTCTCATCGGTACAAGAAGTAGAAATATATAGAAGTGATAAAAATCAGTGTTGTTCTGTTGTGCACAGTTTTATACAAAATAATTTAGAATTTTAATCTACAATGATTGCTCGCTATGTATCATTGAGTTTACAGTCATCATAATTAAATTCAGGTTGAATGCTGTCAAGTGTTATGACAAAATCTAACAGTTTTATCATATATTATATAGGTGATCATCATATCACGGTCATTGTCGTTTGCATAGATTATGTAGAAATTTTTTATTTTATGACTCCGAATTCACTTTAAAAATTTTGTGTTAATATAATTGTGATGGAGTATAAACACAAACCGTTTCATAAATATGATTTGAATCTATAACAAAGTTTTTAAGAAATTTACGAAAATGTTCACTGTCAAACCATGATTCTCTTTTCAGAAAAAATAATTTTTAATCCCACAATTTAAAACTATTTTAGCGCCAAAAAATCGAAGAAAAAATTCAATAAAGCTAAAAGCTCATATTATTCGAATCTTGGTAATGAAACCCAAAAATATCAAAGAGCAGATTGAATTACAAAAATTGGGCTATTTAACCAGCGAATTCTTTTCTAATTCCCAAAAATGGCGAATCGTAAATCTTTAACTATCACTGTCAAATAAATTCAAAATATGTAAAAGAAAAAATAACTTTTTTTTAAATGGACCTAGAATTCTAATTCCAGTATTCTGTTTAAAAATTTATTTGCTGACCTTTTGGGATTTTTCTTTAATATTTTTTCCCTGTTCTTTTCGTTTAAAATAAAACTGTACATGATCAAATACACACAATTAAACGCACATATTATAGAAAGGACTTAAAAGAAGAACAAAACAGTACAAAAAAAAAATAAAAGCGAACAGAAACAAGGCATGAGAGAATTAAGGACACAAAAAAAAATTAGAATCTTAATATAAAATAAATTTTGTTTTGAATAATATTGTGTTTTTCACATTCTAGATCTATGAAGGCTAAGAATACTTTAAACAATTTAATTTGTGAAACTTATTTTAATGAAGAGTATAAATCATTCGCATACACATTCGTACATTCATATATGTACTTCATTATGTAGTCATTTTGTGTTGCAAATATGTATGTATGTTTATAAGATATATGTACATATAAAATCCATTATGTATCCATTATATACTTGCAAAGAGATAAAAAATAAAATACACACGTCATATATTTTGTCCTGATTTCTATCCTTTTCATTTCACACAGATTTCTATGATTTTATTCTGATTTTTCTTATATGGCTATAAAAATTTTCTTTTCCATTCACTTCCTTTCTAAACATTTCTCCATTTTTTTTTTTGAAATCCTAAATAAATGAAATAAAAGTAGTAAAATAAAATTCTTAAATCTTTTAATATTTGAGAAATTTTCCTTATATTTTCCAAAAAAAAAAGAATCCCAATAGAGAATATTTTCTTTTTTTGTTGTTGTTTTTCTTATACATATCTACATGTGTCACCATATACCGTTGATAATGGCATAAAAATAAAATACAAACAAAAAGTTATACGGTTACTTTTAATATTGGTATAATGATGACGACGATGAAACAAAAATAAGGATAAAAATCGGATCGCTACAACGTATTTGAATGCCACATTCAATCCTAATCCTTAATTCGTATACGTACATATATGAAAAAAGAAAATTTTTTGTTGTTTTTTCTAAATTTTCTTTTTATATTTTACAATTTCAAATTAAAATCCAAAAACTTTTAGGATAATATTAAATGTATCCTTGGGCGTGATATAAAAAAAAATTTTGGAGGACCATTTTAAATATATATAAAAATAACAATAATAATAATCGATTTATTTAAAAGGTTGCACCAACACTAAAAAAAAAAAAGGTATAATAAAAAAGAAAATTATATTTATTGAAAAATAATATTCTTACTTTTTATATCCTTTATATTTTATTTCTGATTTTAAAATTATTGAATTTTAATTTAGGCTATGAAAAAGTTTTATGTTATTTTATTTTTCCTTTTTCAAAATTGTTGATATTAGTTTATATTTAAATAGCAGTTATATACTCGTAGAATGTGAGGCTAACATTAAAATATTTTCAAGAGTAATTTTAAATATTCATAATAAATATTTTTGAACAGGAAAATTGAATATTTAACACACAAGATACCTTGTTTGTATATTTGTATTATTAAAGGGAAACTCGTTCTCTTACATTTTTTAGTAAATCACACCTCTCCTGCAAGATCTCTGAGTTTATTCCAATAACAACTTGTTTTCGCATAGAATTTTACTCAATTGGCTGCCTTGAAAATTAGAAATACGCCTAAAATTCCAATACAAATTGCAATACCAACTTTGCAATTTTAATTTTTGAAGTAAAGCCCCTTCAATTAAGACATGTTTAAATTTCAATTCCCCCTAAAATTATTCCTTAATTTACTTTAAAAACAAAATTTCAAACCATCACTCACAATATTAAAAAATTTTCCACTGTACGTGCATCTTTTAATTAAGATGAATAAAAACAATAACAATTTTCCAAACCGAAATCAGAATAGAAACAATTATACCGTTTCCATCGCCTGTTTTAAAAAATATTTAGCCTTCATTTTAAATTTGTTACAAAACTGCTGTAAATTGTATCTAAAAAGAATAGAAATTTAATAACACACGCCCAAGCTTTATACGCAAATACGGGTATTTAAAATATAATTTAACTACATTTCCATATTTATTGCGTTCAGGAGTAATTTTTGCTTGAAATATTCCCCCTTTCTTGGGATTTTAATAGAAAAACTTTCATATACTATCCATAAATATTAGAAAATCATAAATATGTACACATGAATAAAATGAAAGGACATATTTAGAAAAGCAAACAAGGGGTGATTAATTATTTTCAGTATTGTATCATTTTTATTTGGTTATTTTCCCCCTATTTTTAATACGCACTTAATTTTAAAATAAAATTTTATTTTGTTTCTTTTATCTATAATTAAAAATATTTTAATTAACAGTTCAAACTATAAAATAATATTTTTTATAAATTTTATGAGACTATCTCTAACTTTATAGAAAATATTAATTAATAATCTATAACCAGATTATTATTGAGTAAAAAATTTTAACTTATATAATACTAAATAAGTAGTTAGAAATCTGGTTACAAAATTCCAAAAAATTTCAATTTAATTAAAAATATACATTTCAAAATAATTCTAACAGGTTGGAAATTGTGCTCATAATTTTTGTCACTTCACACAATGAGTTTTCTAAACAAGACACTGTTATAATATAAAACCACAACTACTCCTGATCTACAAAAATATAATAACTCAGATTTTTGTAACTTAAGGAATTCTGTCATATAATTACAGATTTCAAAAATTCGATGAATGCAGAAAATTATAAGACTTGGAAATTAATAAAATAAGTTATGATAAATTGAATTTTTTTAAATTAATTTAAAATTTATATTTTCACTTAACTCATTTAACCGAAATTAATGAATTCAGCTGCCTCGCCATTAATTATTCAGACAGTATAGCAATGACAGTTTCACTTGACTCTTCTTATTCAACTATAATAATTCCCAATATTATAACGAAATATTTTAAAGTAAAGAAGCAACAATATTACTTTTTATAATTTGGGAATCAAGCATACTATAACCATAATACCACACTTCTTTATCATCATTATCGTTTACTATTAAATTGCATTCAATTTTTTTAACCCTTAAAAAATCATCATTTCTTATTCAAAAGGGGATTAAAAATTATGATGTCAATGTCCTGAATATTTTTTTCTTCATATATTTATATACTCTTATTATTACAATATAATACTTTTTTCCTTTAGCAAATTAACAGCATTTCTTTGCTTTACTATACTTTCTAATCCCCATTATAATAAGAAGTAACCGTTTCTTTTCTACTTTAACAATACAATAACTTGAGAAATATTTCTTCAATATTTCAATAAAGAGCTATAGAATTTTTACTTCTCTGATAATGACATTTTATATATTACTATCACAGTATCTATATATAAATACTAAAAATAATAAATAAGAAGAATAACTGTTTATTCATTGTCATCAAGTGCTATATTTACTGTTATAACAATAGTATACTATCAAAAGCATTTATACAAAATATAGAATGTTATTTAAATAAAGAAAAAAATTATCCTTTATCTACTTTCGCTGTATAGCGTTTTTGTTATGCTCCCGGTAAAAATGTAAACGATAGTTAAATATTGTCTTCCCCCATCTATAGTCTTTGTTGTAGTTTCACATTTTATATTCTGCGAGTAAAAGATTACCAACACAAAATATTTTAAAATTTCCTTTAATTTTCCAATTTTATAAGAATTTGTGTATAACCAATAAATGATTACTTTTAAAAAAAAAAATTATCCCCATGCCAAAGAGATTTGCATTGTTGCAAAAGTTATTAAATTTTCTGAAAAGACATGAAGCCACTATTTTAGTATCTTACACGTATACCCAAAATTTGGTTCGTATTGAAATTAACATGAAAGTTACTACAATCGAACATAAGAGTTAGGTACAAGACTCTTAATATTTTATCCTCTTTTATTATAGACATGATCTTGATAATTTCAAGCGCATATTTCTTCTAGAAATATCATAAGTATTGACTCTAAACTCTAAAAATATTTTCGTTTGGACTTCGTGTTGACTCCTCTCAGGTGATGAGTACCCAAAAAAAAATCGTTATTTAACCTAACTTTGATGTGTGAACCTTTATCACTTTCATGTAGACCCACATCTATTACATTTAAGTTGAAAATATTTTAAAACAATTTTTATTAAATAAATTTATAAATTCAATTAACGCTGTCTAAGTTTTCGCTAATAAAGGTATTTTCTTTTCTGTTCTTATTATTTATTATATTTGAAATGCTCAAAATACACGTATGTATATGTATATGTATAAAGGTTTTACGAACAATGACAAGATTTAATAATATTTGGAAACCACATCCTACACATTATGTGTTATTTTAATATACCCATCCTTAATTCAATATTATTCATCAAACTATTTTCAAAATTTTGGAGAAAAAGGGTGTTATTAACACCATTTTATCTTTAATAACAAAGAAAATCTCATTTATGAGTTCTTTTAAAGTTTCTGATTTAATGTTCCATAATAAGTTTTAACGTATAATATGTACTCGTATATTGTAGTATTCTACATATATGTATATTCATCTCAATTTGGAAAACAACTTAAAATTCAAAACGTGTTCCCATACCTTCTAAATTAAATTGGAATATTCATATAGTTTCTTTTTCTTTTACAGTTATTTCGTCCTTGTAGTTTTCATAACATTTTATTCTATTCTTTTTAAATAAATTTTAAAAGATCAATGAACTCATAAAGCAACCCGATTTAATCAAAATGAACAGAATCAGGTCAAAAACAAGATTTTGATGAAAAATTCGAAAGTAATAAAATTCAAAAAGTTTTTTAAAGTGTTACTGACTTCGAAAGAAATCAAATCAAATATAAATCAAAGATTAAATCTTATAATTTGGCCATAAACTTTGAATATATTTTAGACACTTTAATATTTAATTTTCTAAATCAGCATAAACTGCTCAAAAAAAATTTACTTTGAATATTGAACGAACATTCATAAAAGCATCTAAAGTAACCCCAAACTATAAGTGGTATGAAGTTGTCTTATATACCAGTTTAAGGTTCAATTTAAAAAATAATGATGAAAAGTGTATAAAATACTTCTTATTAATTGTCTAATCCCCTTATTATTTATTAACATAGGTAATCATTGTTTCCTTTAAAGCTCAACATCAACTGTTCATTGCAAATTTACAAATTCTAAATCGCATAGTTTTCGATTAATTATACAATTCTTATTTCGGACGGAAATGAAATTTTATATAACGTTGTACTCACACACTTTGTTGATGATTTTTGTTTAGTAAAATAATTTTTATTCTACGGATCGAAAAAATTCTTTTTTATTATTTGAAATCATGGCCGAATTCGGGCAGATTTATCGAGAGAAAAAAAAATTCTTTATAAAACTGAAAGTTGGGCACCTCTAGTATAAATCCTTCTGGCGGTATGGCGGTGTTCACAACAATTTTCAGCTATTCGTCCTGATATCACGGAATTGATATAAACAGATTATTACTAAACTTGACTTTTTACCTTAATATTCTCAATGTAATCAAAATAAGCTTCAAGTTAATCTTTATTTCTGTGTAATTGCAATATTTTATAAGTCTCTAAAATTTGTATTTAAATTTGTTTCAGCTATAGTAATAAAAAAACAATTAAAATTGAACTTTATACTCGTAATAGAGTAAAAACCTTAAATGTTCGCCTTTGTGAGAGTGTATTGTGGAGTGATGAAGGCCCATCTTTAATTGGCCTAGTGCTGGTTGGCAGTGTTTAGCGTCCTACCTCCCCTCTCTAACAACTAACTAACTAAATGTTCACCTTCAAAACAAATTCATTTTTAATGTTTTTATATTTTTCTATTTCTATAAAGAATTAAAAAATGGCATGTGAATAAAAATTTTAAATATAAAATTAAATTATAAGTTTTGAACGCGTTCATGTGAATTTCAAAATAGTTTTTTTGAATTTTTTCTCAAATTAGCGTTTTTCACATTTCACATTCCTTATTTTTTTTGAATTCCTATTCAAAACACGTTCAAAAGCATTTAAAAATTCAATTGTCGAAATATTTTTGTGAATTTCATTATACATTTTTAGACTTTTATAAAATATTTTAGCGTTTCTGTTTTTTATACTTAAAATATAATTTTAAAATTGATTTTTTTAATGTTTATTATAATTAAAATTGAATTAGAGATTTTGAAGGAAATCGTAAATTATGTCCATTTTTTTTTAAATAAACAAATTTTGTAGAATGTTCTAATTGCAATGCAGTATGGTATTAGCAATAAGGAATGGACGTGAAGTACTAAATGTGAACTTTTGAATATATAAAGTAATAAAATAATAATAAGTTACAAAGAAAGGGCTGGACATGGAATACAACTAGTAAGGAATGAAAAGAAATATTCTTTCAACGACCCATTTTCTAAAATGACAGATTATCGATTTTGTTTTTATAGCCTAGGCATCAAAATCTCTATCAAAATTCTATAGTTTACCATCTTGTTAATGATAACATTCTAGTTAAAAGTTCTAAAGGTTGATGAAATTATCAAAATGTGATAATAGAGTTCAATTCTTCCTATAAATTTTTCAAAGTATTTAGCAAGATCTGCCCAATATATGCCCAAAAACAATAAGAAAAAATTTTTTTTGAAATAAAATCTAAATTACTAATAAATTTAATAAATTTCCATGCTTTTTACTGTGACTCTGACTATAAAAATTTGCAACAATATAAGCAAGTCACACATATAAAGAGAACTTCATTTTGAATTGAGATTAATATGGTATTAGAATCTATATTTAAATTTTAATGGGATGGCATTTTGGATGTACGCATTCATAGTTTTCTAAATTTTACAGTTTCGCTAATTAAATACTCGTATAAAACAAATCCGTTGTGAATTCATATTGCATCGATAACTATATTCAAATTTTTTTTTTTGTTCATAAATCTATATTAGTAATAGAACACTACCAAATAAAAATCCTTTATGTTCATTCATATCCTTTGTAAAAGTTGTTCTAGTATAACAAAAACAGACACATTTGAGCGCTCATAATGCACATTTGAATAAAATATTTTATTAAATTAAATTGTAATTAACACGTACGAATAATAAAAATTGAATTAAATTTAAAAAGACAAATTAGAATACTTTGAACGATTTATGAGAATACTCGTATGTATATATTGTGTAGATAGCAATCAGGAGCTTTTCTATTAGGAACTAATATGACAGTAAAAGAATAATCGTAGTGGGTCGCAATGATGTTTTGTTGCAATTTAATAGCTTTAGTTTAAATTAATATTTAATAAAAAAATTTTCCTATAGCATTTTTTTTTTCATTAAAACACCCCGGAAAAGGGCTTTTAAAATATTGAACAATTATGGCCATTGGGGTATATCAGTAAAAGTGTTTCGAAAATCTATATGAATTCCGGAATTCGTTTTGAAACAAACCTTCATAAAATTAACCTATAACATGGCAGCAACATAGCAATGAGAATATGTCTTAAATTTCGGCAACTTTTGTTGAATTATTATTGAAGTTTTTTCCTTAAAATTACTCATACTGAAAAGACTGCAGTAGACACAAAAAAAAACCTGTGCCAAAAGCCATACAACTTTTATACAGTGACTTGTTTAAAAATTTATCCCATAACACCACAATTTTCGAAAAAAGACTAGAAATTATTCGTCCTTTACGCCTTTTATTTATAAGAATTTTTTTCAATAAAATTCATCTAGACTAGCTGGTATACCAATTTTATTAGAAGCTAAATTCAGTTCTCTACTTCCTCAGTCATAGTCAGTAAATGCATTTGTATATCATTTTTTTTAAGTGGAATATTTTGCAATATGCAACCCAGTCAATTTCAGTGAATTTTTTTTCAATTAATTTTTATTTTATATTCAAATGGAATACGTTATTATATATTTTAATTTTTTCTCACCATCAGGATATGTTATTATCAGATAATTTCATATAGTTAATCGGAAATAAAAATAAAGAACAAAAATTGAAATAAAAAAGAAAATATTGATCAAAACCTGAATGAATTTGAATAAAACTAATATTCACAGTTGGTAGAAATTCTGCAGCAGCATAGAATGTACTTTTCATATATCCTTTTGTTAGGACTATTCTTTCATTGCTCTCATAAAATAAATAAACACACTATAAGAGATAGTAAAGAAATAAAATATAGCAAAACGTGTTATAAAGCTGCAAGCTAAAGGAGAAAAAAAAACTGACATCATTTAATATTTATAAAAACATACTATAGGATAAAATGCATTTTCCATTTTTCCTCCATACAAAGAACTAAAATTATAATGTTTAAAAGATTGTATTATACGTACACATGTATGTGTGTATGTGTAATAAAATATTCTGAATGAAACTGATAAAATATAGAAAAGAAAATATTATATCGTGTTAAATAAAGAATAACTAACAATGTATGTAGAAATTATAGTCCTTTTCTTTATAAAAACTGGATATATTAAGTATTTATTCTGTATTATAGAAAAAGCCATTACTCACCTGTCATTTACATTGGTAATAGTGAAATGTTTATTCTTCCGGATGTTTTCGTATCATTAAATCAGCCTTTTGATAGAAAAGTTAAGTGTATGCAGAGATAATAAAATAACAAAAATTTTAATTATACGAGTACTAAAATAGAAATAATATTAAACATCTGCGGCTCCCCTGTTTTTTATAAAAATTTATAATATTTAAATTGTCTTTTTCTTTCTTTTAGTTTTCCCCCGTTCAAAAGAATTAAAAATAAAAGTGAATAATTTTAAAGCATACCATATTCAAAATGCAATTCACAATAATTTTCATTTTATTTTTAAAAATATATAAAACTGAATAATTTATAAATTCATTATTGCCTCATCATAATAAGCTTAACTACTTAAATATCCTTTAGAAATCCTTTTCTCTTTATCGTAAATAATAAAATGTTGTTAGGAAAAATGTGCTGGATTGAATGAAAAAACTAATTTGATTTATAAATGAGAAAATATTTCGGAAAATTGTGGAAAAATTTGATTTCAATTTCGCTGTCATAATCTTTGAAAATTATAAGATGTCATTATTATGACGTTTACGATACTTTAATATCTAAATATTCAAGTTCAAAAAACTTGATTCAAGGCCAAAGGAAATTGCTCAAGAAAATATTTTTTCAGAATTTATAATAATAAATATTTTTAGAATTTTTAAATACAATTAAAATCCATCATTCGATATGTGCATGTTTCAGTATGTTATCAAAAATTTTTATGATACGAGGGTGACTATTTATATTTCGGGTCTAGCAATAAAAAACAAACATTTATCATTCGAAATGGTTTTATTGTTTTTCAAAATATTCCCCATGAAGATCAATACACTTTTGCATGCGCTGAAACCAATTTTCGTAACACTTTTTCCACTCCGATTAAGACACCTTCAAAACATGGTTTTTGAACGCATCGACTGCTTCTTCAGGTGTTGAAAATCGTTGTCCACGCATTTTTTTTTTGATGTGAGGGAATAAGAAGAAGTCATTGGGTGCTAAATCAGGACTGTACGGCGGATGACCCATCAATTCGACATTTTGAGTGCTCAAATAGTCCATTGTTTCAGCTGATTTGTGAGAGCTTGCATTGTCATGATGAAGAATGATTCGCCGGCGCTTGTTTGTTTTCCTTATTTCTTCGAAAACTTTCGGCAAACAGATGGTGGTGTACCATTCAGAATTGACCGTCCTACGTTCCACTAAAGGTACTGTGGCCACATGACCGGTTATACCAAAAAAAAAACGCGATCATTTGCTTCGATGTGCTTCTTCCACGAACAACTTTTGTTGGATTTGGCTCGTCTTGGAACACCCATACGGTCGATTGCTGTTTCGTTTCGAGCTCATATGCATAGATCCATGATTCATCACCTGTGACTATCTTATAAACGTCTTTTGACGCACCGCGATTGAATTTTTTCAACATTTCTTTGCTCCAATCGACACGAGCCTTCTTTTGTGCAATCGTCAAATTTTTTGGGATCCATCGACAACACACCCTTTTCACGGCAAGATGTTCATGCAATATCTTATGTACGCTGGTGGAACTAATGCCCAAGGATGCCTCAATCTCACAGTATGTCACATGCCGGTCCATCATTATCATTTCGCGCACAGCATCGATGGTTTCCGGCAAAACGACCGAAATTGGCCGACCTTCACGAAATTCATCCTGGAGCGAACGGCGTCCGAAACCAAACTCTTGGCACCAGCGATTTACAGTGGTTTTTGATGGTGCTTCATCACCAAAAGTCGAAACAAGTTGATCGAGACACTCTTGTCTCGATAATCCGCGCCGAAAATCGTAAAAAATCATCGCACGAAAATTTTCGCGGGACAATTCCATTTTTTGACCGAGATAAATTTTTCAAGTCACTGTAAACAAAACAATTCGCGCTCGAATGACAAAACGTTCTGAGTGAAGTTGTCCTAAAAAATGTCAAACTTTCCAATGGAAGTGTCAGATTGCACCTGGCAGCACTAGTATTGCCAGGACCCGAAATATAAATAGTGACCCTTGTATTACGTCAAGAGCCTCCAGAGGTTACCAAAGATTGTATCAGTTATTATTCAATTATTAAAGATAGAAATTTTTACTAACTTTTTGGAATTTGAATAAAAACAATTGCAAAAGTTTCTCTATTTAATTTCACATTTATTTGAAACATCAACTTTCTACTTTGGAATGAAAATCAAACAGAAGCTATAAATTCTGAAACTTATGTAAGAATTTAACTTTAAACTTAATTAAAACTCAAAAAAGAATATTTTGAATGAAAAATTAAATAAGTTCCAAAATATTACTTTGTATTTTGTAAATTTTTTATATGGGTGAAGTATTCATATACACTCATTCAAAATTTTGTATGAGTACAATACGATGCGAATCGGATTTGTTATGAGCGTCCCGTGTGTTTTGAGCCACTCCTATTTTTAATAAATTTTTTTCAACGGAGTTTAACCATCTCTTTCTCGGGCGTCCAAGATTTCTTCTACCAATTGGGATATCTTTGAAAATCGTTTTTACGACTACCTCATCTGGCATTATATTGACATGAGGCAGTTTATACAACAGCAGGTAACGAAAGTTCAAATATCAGTGGCAAAAATATATTTTAATAACAATTATGAGAAGCGTGGTTTTTTTAAAACATGGTTTTTCACTAAAAATAATACCAAATCAGAATACTTCCGGTACAGAATATAAAATTGTCAGAAATATTGTTTCTTAATAACTTAATATTCTGATATGATAAAAATTAAAAATTTTTCTTAAAGTTTCATAAAATCTTAAGAAATCTTAATTTTTTAATCTGTAAATTTCAATATTAAAATTATATTTTTCAAAAAAGTTATTATTGCTATCATAAAATATAATGGTTATAATTAAAATTTAAAAATTTTTATTATATCGCATATTACAAAGTTTTACCAAAGTAAATTTTCTGCCAGTCCAATTCTTTTAAAATAAACAATTTAAACAAATGGTATAAAACCTCCTCCCGATGTTTAAATTACACATTCAAGCATATATAATATTTTTACGAAAATGAGATAAAACTATTGCTCTGAAAAGCTTTAAAAAGTTGAAAAATTCATCGGAAAAAAAGTTCAGAGTTGAAACTAGAAAACCCTAGGCTTCGATCTAACTACTTAAGGCTCTTATATATAACATCACACCTATGATTTTCACGCACTCTGATTTCCTTAAATAATTTTGCTTACAAAAGTTTTCCTCTTATTCAAATAATACGCAAGAGTCCTTTTATTAAGGATTAAAAGTATGTAGCATCTTGATTTAATCCGCAATTATTTTATTGCCAAACAATATATATTTATATACAATATTGATCAAATAAAAAATTCATTTAATTTTTTAACTTTTGCACTAAAATATTATTAAAAATGTTTTAGAACATTTTCTAATTTTCACTTTCTAATACAATATTAAAATAATTATTTGAAAAACCACTAAAGTTTTGAATCTTAACAAAACTTTTTAAATTTTTAATTTTTTTGTAAATTCTCACTTTTACCCTCAGTCCCCATTCCAAAAAATTTCACTTTAAGGGGAAAGAATTTAATATTTCTGCTTATTGCTTCTAAAATTATAGCTTCCTTTTCTTTCATAATATTTTATATGAAATTTGATTTCTTTTGTAACTATAATTATCCTTTTCATTAAAATTTTCATTGTGTATATTATGTATCCGCTTTCTATTATTAATCTAAACTCCTCCCTATTACGTTTTTATAAATAATTGATTATATTCAAGATTGTATTAATGAGAAACAAAAGTGTACTTATAGAAAACAATATGGATGGAGTCAGACAAACTTACAAAGAAAAATTAAATTATTTCTTAGGGGTCATCATTTTCACAAGGTATGTATTTTATTCATAATTGCCTCATTAAAATAATATCAAAATTTTCAAGTCCTCCCTTTATTTCAAATATACAATAACATAAATGAGTTTGTCGTTTTTTAAGAAATATTCTTTCAATATCCTTTAGTTTATGATAATAATATAATTTGGTGAATGTATTCAAAGCTAAATATGTTAATGTTATTGTTTGAGACATAAATAGTGTTTTTAGATAGAACCGGAAGAAAATCTAATTAAGTTTATTATAAATTTAATAAAAGAATAATTTAAAAATTAAAGTTATTTGTGAGGGCAGTTTTTTGAACAATTATTAATAATTATTATACGAATGATTATTATTATAAAAAAATTTTGTTATGATGGCTTTAACAAATTAAAAAAATGTTGTAATTATTCGTTTCAAAAAGAAAAAGCTCATTGATTTTTGGTTAATTCTGGACAATTATAAATAAGTAATTGATGACAAAGTATACTGTAATTGAGTCATGAAATTTTTGTTGAAAAATCAATTAGGTTTTCTTATATACATGTAAATTTTCATTCATGTTCCCATTCTTCACATCACATGCACAATTCTATATAAAATTAATCCAGTACAATATATTGTAAAAACTTTTAATTTTAAAATAAATATTCAAAACTTTATTCACTTCATTTTTAAGCCCTTTAAATCAGTAATTGGCAATTTCAAAAACTTTATAAATGAAGTTTTTTTAATCAATAAGATCCACGGACAAATCTAAATATCTACATGTTAGTTTTTCATATTGGCATTTAAATTACACAAAAAAAAATTGCTATAACGTGAAATTCTAATAATGTTTTGCTTATGATTCTGTGAATAATGGCATCACATAAATTTGTTATATTAAAAATAAAAATTTAAATATTTATTATTTTTCATGAAAAAGCATAAAAATATGAAAAAAGCCACCATTAAAAATAAATTTTAATAAATTTATTTTGCAGTTTGAAATTCGAAAGCATTAAATCACATCAAAAAAAGTTTTTTTTTTGTGCTGCGATTCTTTATGTTGCACCAAAAAAAAAAAAAAATTTAAATTAATTTTCATTTTATTTTAAAATTTGCATTTTTTTTTTATTCAGAAGTTCATTTATCGCAAAATTTATTATAAAGTGTTAAATCACTCTTTCATTTTTCATATTCACTTAATTATAATTCACACTTAATAGCTAATCCTTAAAATATTGCACAATTTCCTGTTGCTGTATTAAAAATATACAGACAGATAAACAAACCAATTGCTTTGTAAAGTGGTAGTTCATTTTATTTTAATAAGTTGTGAGTGGAAAACTGACGATTTTAGAACTTTAAAATTTTAAACGTTGAAAAAAAATTTTTTTTGATATAAAACTTTATTTATAAGTAAATCTAATTGCAAACATTTAGGAGGATTATAAGAAAAAATCAATGATTGCATTGGAAAAAAATACTTCTTTTCTCATTCATATTCGAGAAAATTAAATAAATTAGGTTAATAGTAGGGTTAGATAAAAAATATTGTAAGAATTTGAAAAAATTTTTATCATTCACAGTCTATTTTAAACTTTTAAACACATTTGCCGACTGAAAGAAAAACAAAATGCCCAAAATCTCTTATATCCAACGACATGGTCAGTAGAGACGTGAAAATAAATAAAAAGTATACACAACGCCAACATATTCGTTCTCTTTAATATTTTTACATAACAATCCTTACCCAATAAGTTCAACTATAAAATCTACATTAAAAATTTTTGAATAAGACAAAAAAAATTTTTTATTATAATCAAATTTGACTGTATTCCTGACGACTTTGTCCAAAATTTCAAATTAAAATGGCAAATAGAATCATAAATTTTACAGGTTTTTTAATTTTTTTCTTTCTATTAGAGTAAATTTGAATTTTTTGTTCTTTAAACAATTTAAGTTTTGTTATGATATGAAAGCGATTATAACTTTTTCTATTATTTTGCAAAAATATTAAACCGCAAAAGAAAAACAATCAAAGCATGGTAGTAGAAAAAAAAAACATTTATTTTCATTTTATTACAGTTATATTTCTTGTTTTTCTTATTTCTGTCGCTTTTGTTTCACTTTATATTGGAAATACTAGGAAAAAATTTCTGCGAAAGAAAATTTGATACCGTAGACTTTAATTTTTTTTTGTGAATTTTTGAACTTTCCATTCTTAGAATAAAGTATTATTTTTTGATTTTGTGAAAAAAGTCCTTGAGACTTCATTTGTGAAATCTTACAACTTTTTAAGTCTATTATTCTTGAATTTTTCCACAAATTTGCCCATACAACGAGGATTGCATTTTTTAAATTATAGGTAAAAATAAAAAACCTAAAAAAATGAAAAAGAATGCACACATTAGCGATCGCTATAAGATTTACATGTAATTTAACATTAAAATTTTTTTACATAAAGTATTTACTAAATTTTAATTAAAAAAATTAATGTTCGATATTCTCATAATTTTGGAAATCAAGACATGATACTTCGAAAATTTAATTGAATTTTTTTGAAATCATAGTTTTGAGAACACAATTACAATTGTTGGGACTGAGATTTTATTATTGTAACATAAAATGTAACAAAAAATGTTCGTATCTAAATCCGGTTGTGTATATAGCAATAAGACAATATTGGTAAATTCGTAAAAATGTTGAATTCTTCATATTCAATACTGATTCAAATTCATAACGAATATAATAATATTTTGATTGCATATTTTGCAAATCTCATTCTCTATGGGAAAAAATAGTTGATCTTTCTTTAACTAAAACACAAAACTCAAATAGTCAGTTCAACAGATTACTTTAAACTTTCAGGCCTTATTGAACCATAGTAATATAAAATGTACGATAATATTTACAATAACGAAATATTGATGCCACCTTTTATTAAAAATAATGGTTCTACTCATATTGTGCTCATTAACACAATTTCATACCTCATTCTACACAAAAACGCATTTAATAACTCTAATTTGTTCATAAAACTTGGTGTTATCGACTCTTATTATGAATTTACAATATTTTTTAAAGCCTTTTTAAAACAAAGTTACAAATACAGCAAAATTGGTGCAAATATGTAATTTTCACGTTGCTACAGGGAATTTTTATCTTATTTTTTAACTTCACCTATAATCCTTGTAACTTTTTTTTTTTAAATTTACTTGAATCATCATCAATAAAAATAATTGGAAAACTTCAATCAAAATATATAACTTTAATTAAAAAATTCGCCGAAAAAAAAAATTCTACTTTTATTTAAAAAACGAAAAAAAAAAAAACAATATTTTTTTAACTAATTTGAACATTTTTTTTTTCATTGTGTAATCTTAAAGATAAATATAGAAGAAAAATTAGGTCATATAATCGAAATTATTTCTCAAAGCGTTAATTGTGAAAGTAATCAAAAGCATTAAAACTTTATTTTCTTATTGGAAACTTTCAGAAATCGCATATTTTCAAACCAAATACAATATCTGGAGAAAATACAATAAAAAATAAAGTTGGATCAAACCAATGGTTTATAAGGAAGCAATTTTCCTTTCAAAAAGTGAAAATATTTCGTTTAAAAACAATCTATGTATACCTTCCAGACTATTAAAATTACTTTCATTCATATACCAAAGAATTTCAAAAATTGCATACATTTAGGATTAGCACTGTATTCAATGTTTGAAATAAAACAAAAAAAAATTTTAAAGTCTCGTCAAAAATATGCTAAAATTTAAGAATTTATTGCGTGAGTTAAGAAAAATAATTATAGTTTTTGATGACATGGAATTT